TTGTTTTCAAGCAAATTTGGTTTGTTTTTTCTTAGTTATACACTATTTTTGTTCGGCTTTACACTTTTTCTTTAACTGTTTTTGGTCCTAGGGCTTTGGGATAAGCGGGCTCATGACTTCCCACCTAATCATCCGGCCCCCGGAATCTTTGGTCTTAACTAAGTTAAAAAGCTAAATAGTACCAGGCGGAGGGTCGGTACCTTCCGCCTAATACAATACAGGACAATAAGGCCTCTAACTCGGGCATACGCCCGCAGCGTAGGGTTCGTCGCTGAAACGTTTGCTGATCATGATGGTCTTATGCCTTTGACAGGCCCAGCCAGGAGCGCCATAAAACGTCTATGTAACATTTGCCCAAAAGCTACACAGCGACGGAGCGTAGAAAACGCACCTATTTACGACTGGCTGGCGTCAGTTAGATAAATTCTACTCGTTTTTTACGGTCTCGACCTAGCCAGTTGATTTTCTGGTCTGTTTAGGGCAAGGTAAAAAGTTACCATTTTTAGGCCACCAGTCAAACGACTTTTGATCAGCTTTCGTTTACATGCGAAGACAATCACATAGCTAGGTCTTGGATCCCCAGACTACGTGATTGCTTTTACTACGTTCAAAAACTACGTTCAAAAACACGTGATTACTACGTTCAAAAACACGGGACGAATATCCTATTTTACTATGTTTTCTTGCTAGGTTCCGCTATGCCAATCCGAGGGAATAGCACACTTGTCTCTCGGACAGTTTTTCTTACTTTTTTAAATGGTTTTCTGGTGTTGTTGCCCCACGAAGTGGAAAATTCATGCCATCCACCTGAAATGATTGCTAATTTTGCCCCCAAGAGGTTTATCTTGTCTCTCGGACAGCTTTTTTAATTTTTTGCAATGGTTTTCTGATGTTGTCTCCTCACGAAGCGGAAAATGGATACCAACCACGAAATTTGATGCCGCACATAGCGGAAAATGGATGCCAATCTTCGTTCGTCGATAACTTTTTGCACCAGCGATCTGCCTTTCCTTAGCATCTCCTCATACCTTTTACTGTCCTCATTTGCCCCAGAAGTTTCAGTCCTAAGTAGTTTTATTTGAAAACTACGCACAGTTTGGTCAAAAAAAACGCGTTCTCTGGGACCCTAAACTTCAAAAAGTCCGGTATTAGATCATTTTTCAGACATTTTCTCAGAAACTTCAGTCTATGTACAGATTCTTGAACTTTTTTAAAGAATTTTTAATAGTTCAACCCAATTGTCCAAGTTAGTTTTCTTTTGAAAATTCGTCTGAGCCAACCAGCAGGCAAAAATACTGTGGTCATTGTTTTGCAGGCCACGAGTAATTAATTTCACAAGGCACAAAAAACAAATCACACTCTCCTCACCCCTGTCTTCGATTCGCAGACATTTACTCTGATTTCAGCTTCTGCTCCCGTCTTGCTTTCGCCTTCCTCCTCGTCTGCGATGGTCTCTGTTGTTTGCCCCTGATATTGTCGATCAGTTCTGACAGTCTTTCTTTGTGTGCCATCTTTGTGTGCCTCTTAGAGAGATCAGCTTTCTGGTGCAGCTTCAAATTTTCCTTGAGCTGCTCCAGATCAAGTTTATACTTCAACACAACCCTGCATTTCAATTGAAGTTCATAAGCAATAGTCTATCTGAGCCTGTGAACTTCCGTAACCGTTGACATTCTTTCATGCTCGTGTTGAGATTAGTTCCTGTCACGAGTTTCTCGACAGCAGTTTTTTCAATAGTTGCCTTTCCAGAGAATATTTGTCACTACGCTCGGGTAACCCTACAACTTTCACTATTCAAAAGAAGTGTCAGTACTTAGTCACTTCTTGTGACTCTTAGTCACTTCAGAACTGGGACTCAAATTAAGTCACAGTATTGAAGTTTCCAAGCGGTAGGTTTGCGGGAGATAACGTCGTTACCTGCCAATTTTTTTGCAATCGTGAGGGTTTGGATCCTACTTTATCCGCTGAACGCTCTCTATCAAAAATCCTACTGTTTTATCATTACAACTTGCGATCAGGAATTTTTCTACCGTAGTTTTCTTGGACTGATGTTCGTCGTATTGCCATATCGTCTGGCTCATTCTAATTTTTCCCCCTTAATAGGACCTTTTCAACGTTTTTCAGAAATAGAAGATTCCAATTGAAGTTTTAAAAACACCCTCCAAAACACTTCTTTTTTTTACTCCTAAGGCATATCGAATCACCTATCGAATTTCACAGTGCCGAAAAGCTACTTGCAGTTTCTCTCTTTTTACAACTTTTGTCTCGATCTTCGAACTTTGCTATTTTTAGGCATGTTTACTGGCAGAAAGGCACACTGGGTTATACAATGAAGCATGAGTGACATAATTTGAACTTTTTAAAATAGTGTTTAACCTGCTTATTGCTGTAGAAAAAAGTTAAAAAAAGTAGTAAAACAAGATAAAAAACAACATCATTTTAATAATAGTTCTTTGAAATGAGAAAGGATCGTTAAAATCAACTTATTGTTTTGCTTTATAGGTTAACAATGCAAGCTTGAGAGTCTCAAGTTTGTTGTGCTGGTCACTGCAAGCAGTTTTTTGCACAATATATTCTACTTACAATGGGGAACAGCGAGCATGACAATTTTGACGTCGCAGTGGAGAAAGGCGAAAAATTTGAAGACCCATCCAATAGCTGTGAAAAGCGAATTTATGTCTTTGTTGGTGCAATATTCTTCATCCTTGCGTTCTTAGCTTTAACCATCCTGTTTTTCAAATACCACTAATACGGAAAATTGTCATATTTTTAATATAATTGATCGATCTTTTATCTTCAATAATGTGATTTGAATACATTGGAAATATTTTTATACATGATTTAGTACTTTCGTAATATATTGTTTCTCAATTCTTCTTTCAAAAGATAATTTGAAGTGAAACCTTAATTTGTGATTTTTTTGGAGGTAGAACTAAGACGAATAGGTAGTAGGCTTATAACAACAACAACAAATTACAACTAGGATGGACCGTACATCAAAGTAGAAATTAAATAAGATATAAAGGATGCATTAAAAAACTCGTGATTTAGATCGAAGTAGAAAAATTATGACTAGAAAAGATACAATATAAGATACCAAAAATACAATATCACTGCTGGGTCGCTATATAAAGCAAGTATGAAAAATTTCTCTCGTCTTTTTTGTGGAAAACGCAAGTAGACAAATATATTTGATAATTCCGAAGCTTAAATTCACCATAAATTTGACCCCAGCATCCAACTTATACCAATTTATCAGAAAGAATTTGAATTATTTTGTTCACAGGAGAGAAGTGAATTTTTTCTAATGTTGAAAGTATTTTGAAACCTATTTATGACCTGGGCTGTCTTGATCCTCAAAAGTTAAAACAGAATTGAAACTTGTTCTGAAGCTTGTTTGTATTTGTACTCAAGACTTCATTTTTATGAAGGACGTTGTTACTGTTGAGGGGCCTGTCTGTCATAGTTAGCACAATTACCCTTGCGATAAGCAAGGGTATTGCAATCGGGTACTAGACTTTTTTCCCGTAACTTTGTCCACAGGATCTTCACTTCTAGAGGATCTTTCATCTTACATTCTCAATTTTTTTTAAAATTCAAATAAAAGTACTATCACTTAGCTAGTAATTAGTTCAAGCCCGTTTTAGGTTGTAATTACCTTTCCTATCCTAGCTTCTGTCCGTTCATTTACCGTTTTTTACGCCATTTTTTCATTTTGTAGGGTTTTTATTGGTTTACTTTTTCAAACATGGGTTTTGTTCCAATTTAAACAGTTTTAAAATTGGAAAGTTTGTAAAATTTGTAAGTTTCCCATGTCTAATTTTGATTTTTTTTCAAGTTTTTTTTTAAATAATCAAACAGTTACAGTTTGTTATATCGACTTAGTCAACTTATTTTGCGTAATTTCGAGGGCAAAATAAATCTATTTAGGATTGTGTTTCAGTTTGGATGAACTGTATGTAAAAACTTTGATGAAATTTTTTATGACAACAGTTTTGTTTTCGGCTCCACAGGTTTCGACCCAACGTTTGTCGCCCTTGTTGCCGCTCAATAATTGTTTCCCATTTTTAAGGGATGTTTATAAATTAGTCTAATACAAATATGAACTTCTTGTAGCTCTGATTTTCCAATTTTTGTCAATTTTTTTCTCAAGTAATTTTTCCAACATTTCAGAAATTTTGTTGACTGTCTTTTGTTTTCATTCAATATTTTTTTGGTGGTTTGACTTATGTTTTCTTTCTATGTTCAATTCATTTACTTTGTTAATAGAAAGGCAAACTCTTCTATCGAACAGCGAAAAGGGAAAGGTCACAAAAACGCGTTCGACTTCTAATTTGGAAAATGGAAATTAATTTTCAGATTTCCCAGCTTAAGACTTGTCGGATATTATTTTAAAAGAAACAATCATTTCATGAACATCGAAATGTAAAACAAGGATAGCCGATTGCTGGGCAAGTAGCATAGAATGTTCCCACCATAAAATATATATTTTTTAAATTGGTGTTTTTTTTGTGCGTGGTTCGGTATAAAAGGATCCAACGAAAGCCTAAAACTTAGGTCTATTCGAGAGTCACAGTAAGTTTGGTAAAATGAGTAACAGTTTTTGTCAAAAAACTATTTTAAAAAATTCAATGGGAAAAAACTGGTTGAAAATTTTTTGAGTTTCAGTACAACTTCGAGCGAGTAAAGCGAGAGAGCAGTCCAATTTTGGAAAGATAAGCCGAGGAACTTGTTTTACTACAGAAAATTTATTTTTCCAAAATTTTGTTGCGCCGTCTCGCGAAAAGGGCTTTGATATGATATATCACTCGACTCATTCCGATGGTTATTTGTGATACCTGATTTTGCGAGGAAAAAAATTAATTACAGTCGAATACAAAAAGCCTCCCTATTTTCAATGGTTGTGACGAAAAAGACAAGTGAGTTTTTCTATCAGTACGGGGCAATATCGATCAAATCCCAAAAAAGATAGTCTCGATTCCTGAACGAACACTGATGTTTAGAAGTATATTGTATATTTTCAGATGAAAATGGCCGCCGGTGTGTTAAAGTTGTTGTGTCATTGTAGTTTTGTTCTTTTTTGTTTACTTCTATTTCTACCTCCTGGCGTGCTTTCAGTGAAAAGACACGACTTCAAAACATGTAAAGACAGTAGCTTCTGCCAGTGAGTATAATAAGTTGCAAAAAGTTGGAACAGTCAGAAATAATTAAGAGCAATCTGCAAATTTTGAGCAATTCTTGAATGCAAATGCAAGTTTACGGTTTTAAGTGACCTTGAGACCTACTTTCAGTTTTAAAAGTTAGCTTTTGCATGCAAAAACTCTCAAAAACTCTTTAAAATTGACGTTTGCTTTTAAAAATTTTTGCCCGTTTCATTTTTGCAACTCAAAAAGTTACACTAACTGATACGATGCTTTCAATAACGCACTCAACTGTTCTTGTTCTCTGAGTTGATATTTATTGGCTCAAACACTATCCTTTATTACAGATAATAGCATGTTTTTGTATGTGACTGAAGTTCTACGCCACATTTACTATAATTCTTCCTTTCTTCTAAACTGTAAAGCTTTCAATTTCAATTGAGTAATTTGTGAAAAATCTAGACATCAACAAAAATTGTTGAGATGTGTAATGATCAGTCCTAAATAGACCTTCAAGACCCCAATTTCACGCCCTCGTTGTTTCATTCGAAAACAAGTGAGTGAGCACAACAATTGAACATCATCAACCACACAAGAAACTCGAAGAAGTCTGCAAACAGTTTTTTCTCCGTAAATACTTTTGGAAAATCAACAAAAATTTAAGAATGTAACAATCTAATGAGTTGTAATTGTCCGAGATTAGACTGTTTTGTTAAAAAAAAAAGATTTTGTCCTCAATCATTGCAAATGAGATATCGCAAATCAAAGACAATTTTAGTTTGCGATAAACCTTGAATGCTTAATGCAATTTAGTCTGCTCTTATCATTTTTGGGTTACCGAAAAATTGTGATGCAGTTTAATTTTTGTGAATTAAAAAAACAAAGCTACACTGATTCTGAAACAAAAAGATAATATTGAAGTACCAGAACTAAAAACTGACGGAGCTCTGATACGAGCAATCTTGTTAGCATATGTAGCTGCTTTATTCGTGTATAGTGTTTGTCGGCGGTGAAGCGTGAGTGGTTAGTGCGTGACACTTAATATCTCTTGATTGCCGTAGGTCGTAGATCAAATCCTAGACCTAGTCGAATTTCTATTTTTCTTGTTGCACTTTCTAGAGCTGTTTTTTTTTTGCCGTGTTCTCGCTAGTGTTTGCGAAGCGAAGCTTCATCTCTGTGTAGACGAATCAATAGCTATCGATTTGATCAAAAAGAGATCTTAACGTTGAATCAAATCACTAGGTTTTCAAAGAAGCATCGATAGATTTGCACTTTAACCAAAGATAAAATACAAAAACAGCGTTTTTGAAGAAAAATTGCAAAATTGGGATGCTTCGAAGAACTATTTTGTAGTCAATCCAAAACTATTGTTTCTGTAGGCGAATGGAGACAATCTGTAACTGATTTCAAAATGATAACTTAAAAAAAATGAATTAAACTTACTAAAAAGCTTGTTCAAGCAATTTCAGGTTTTTGGTTTTGTCTATTTGTAGTAACTCACTCGGATTTATATTATCAAAATATTGGTTTAATTTCTCTCATGTTAATTGGAATGTTTTTTAAGCTTTGCATTTTGTTTTCTAGGAGGCACAGACAATTGCCAAAAAACAGTCTCTCATTTTATGTCTCTAAATCTGTGCAAGTATCGAAGGAGTCAGTTCAACTGGAGATTTCGGGAATTGAGAACAAGAAGCCTCTGCTTCTCTCCATCACACTCCTCAATGGTCCCATGTTCCGATTTAAAGTCAACGAGGTGGATCCGCTCTATCCGAGATTCGAAGTGCCATTTGTGATCGAACAGCTACCCCAACAGCAGACGTATGTTGTTAATCATTGTTTGATAGTGTTTAAGTTCATTGCTTGAGTACCTGAATTTTAATTTTACATCTGTTATAACAGTTTATGATTTTGCTGTTATTGGTACATCCAATGTCACCAAAATTGTTCAATTTAAATGTGCATCTATAACCCAGGTTGAAAAAATCTTCGAACATTATTGTAAAATAATCCAAAAAACAGCATGTATTTGTTACTCAGAACCACAGCAACAGTTCTCTATAGAGAGCTAAACAATAATAAAAAACGAAAAGATGTAAAATGTCAATGCATTTCGAGTAAAAAAACTCATCATCAGGACATATCTGAAAACAGAAGAACACTGTAAAAAGAGCAGAACGAGCTAAACAGCTCGTATGCTCGGACTTTCCCTCGTGTATAAAATACTTTTGATGTCAATCAGTAAATTTAATGATATTTGATTGAAAAAGTTTGAAATTGGGATATTTTTCTTTAGTTTCTCAATAGAGGAAGATTCGAAAGAGAGACTAGTACTGAGTGCATCTTCTGCAGATGTCAAGTGTGTGGTAATGAAGAACCCCCTGGTTATATTTGTTCTCCACCAGGGAGAAGTCATAGTCCAGTTGAACAAAGACTGGCTGCTCAAATTCGAAGAGTACAGGGCCAAACCGTGAGTATTAAGAAATACAAAAGATTTGACCAAACAGATTTTTTTTGAAGGCCAAGGCAAGGACCATTTTCACAAAAAAAATTACATGCAAAAGCTAGGTTGGTTTACAGAGAGTGACGTATTGTCAGGTTGCCCTAAAATTCAAGTATGCTTGTTAGATTCTTTCAAAATTGGCCAATTTATATTAAAAGTGATGAACGCAGTGAAGAAGAAGAATTTTATATAAGTCTTGCTGAGTTTTTTTTAGGAAAAGTCTTAAAAATCTCTAATAACTACAGATGTGCATTCATACATTTTGATTCATTTATGAATGCAATTAGGTATAATGCACTTTTCGAGTTCAGTTGAAATTGATCTGCTGAAATTGACGTAAATAGGACTCTCCAAATACGAACGTGGAAATGGCACGAAAAAACGTGAACGATTTCTAGTTTCGAAACTGGAATTTCGTTTTAAGGTTTCCCAGCGGAATAAAAACTTTACCTATTGATACGGTTTTTTCAAGTTGAATTCATGTTATCAAAAAAAAACGCCAATCATAATTTGTTTTAGAAATTCAAAGAGCTGAAAGGGCATTTATTTTTTTCTTTTAAATTCCAAAGTGGAGATTTTTTCAAGAAGGTCAGTGTTTTTTTATGTTTACATGCGTTCATTACTCTTTTCCAGTCTTCGAGTGGCTATGTTTCATTATTTTCAACCATTAGATTTTTGCTTTTATTTGGCTGTTAATTTATTTAACTTATGTACAACGAATTTACTGAAAAAAGTTTTTCGAGATAGGTTGCTTCGCCTCTGCAAAAGATTGGATCCTAGCTAAGTTTTCTGAGCCGCATGAAGGAATCACGATCTTCAGTTTATACGGAGACTTAATTAATAACAATACTGCTCGTATCAGGGCGAAGCCCTGAAAGTTCCAACTGCCTTTTAACATTTCTGGAGCAGTAATAACATAAACAACATAAAAAAATTGAATTAAATAAAATAAAATGAAAAACTTTTTTAAAAATTGAAAATTTTCTATGAAAATCATCCCCCCACACGCCATATAAAATACAGAACAATAGATTTCGCTCCTTTTAACACATCAATTATGGCAAATAAGCTTCTTTCAACCAATTTGGAACGATTTCTAAGACGGATTAAATCTCCGCTTACGCGTTAATAGCGCGAATTATATAGCGCGTTAATTGTCCCAAGTTGGTCAAAATGGCCAAAATGGCAATCCTTAAACCCCCATAACTTTACGAAAAATGATCACAGGTGAAATATTTTTTCAAATTTAAGCTCAGGACAACAAAACCTTTTGAATGATATAAAAAATTCCTTCAAAAATGGCTAGTTAAAAAGTCGAAATTTGTCTGAAGAAAAAAATAACCCACCCCGAGCACAAATATTCCGTTATTTTCGTATTGAAAGTCGGAACAATAAGTTTAATTGTGAAATGCCACAAAGAGCAGGGTCTGATTTTAAAACTAAGGAGGGGTACCAATTTTCTCCAATTTGTACAAGAAGATTTGTGTTCGGGGATTAATTTAACGAAGTTTGATTGCTTTTTTAAGTATTTGACAACAAAATTTGTTGTATCCAACTCTTAAAAAACTTGATTGTTTCTTGCTAAGTTGTTTTTGTCGTGGTTTTATTTTAAGTAAGTTTTTTAGTTGTAGAAATTGTAGTACCACGTGAAAATTCTGGAGCAAAAAACGACCTTGAGTCAACAAAATAACTCACATGTAGAATATGGACAAACCAATACAAACTGACGATGCTAGACAGGCTGGATAGCCTTTCATAGTCTTCTACTTGTCGCAGAAACCACAATCAAAAAGTTCAAAAATAATACTAAGTTGAGTCATAAGCAGTCTGGTTTGTTGTTTAGTCTGGTGACTGGAGGCACAGACAACGAGAAACAGGAGAATGAGGATGACGAAGACAATGAAGACGTAGATGCCCATGAAGCAGATGAAGAAGAAGCACATGAAGATAATCAGGGGGAACAAGTGAAGGTAATTTGAATAATTGAATAATTTAAGTTTTTCCCTTATTTCCCTGATTACTGACTATGATTGCAGTAACTGATATTGTTTAAAGTGATATATAATGCTAAATCTATTATACTTGTGATAATAAGTAAACTTTACCTACACATGCTGTTTACACTTGCGATCAGCTTAGTGTAATATTACGAATCTTCTTTTTTTTCTTACCTAACTCGCAAATAAAATTGTTCCTTAGAAGTGTTCATTTCTGTGCCTTTTTGCGATAATCACGATCTGTAGCATTGGAAGCTTCATAGCGTCTGTTCTCTGCTTTATTTGTGGCTAGTGTTTGTTCCTATAAAGCGTCCGTGGCTAGTGGTTAGTGTGTGAGACACAATTTCGAGGCTTTTTTCTTGTTGCACTATAGAGCTGATTTTTGTCGTGTTCTCGCAAGTGTTTGCGAAGCGAAGCTTCGCCTCTGCGTTAGTATTAATCTCGAAATACATTTGAAGTATTCTTTTTTGATTTTTTCATTAATTGATTAAATGCGGCTCGTAGGTTCATGAAGATCTTTGGTTTCGTAGTTTGCCCACTCTGAACAATTGAATATTAAATAATCGATTTATTTTATGTACTAATTTGTTATCGGAGAAATTATTCTTTTCTTTCTTAGGTAGCTGAGGATGTGGAAAATACTTTTTGGTTTTTTAATTTTCAAAATAGTTTTTTTTACATAGTCGATGAACGCTGTGAAGTCTTTTTTACGATCCTGTTTTATTTTCAGGTAAAAGTCTTAAAACGTTTTAAAAACTTCAAAAGAACATTGATACATTGGAATGCATCTGGTATAATTGCACTTTTTGAATTCAATTTGAATTCATCTGCGTTAAGTCAGACAAATTGACCTCTCCAATTATGAAAGCGGTAATGGAGCGAAAAAAGTTGTTTTTTAATTTACAGATTTCCCAGCGGAACGAGGGTTAAGGCGATATATTTTTTATTTCGAATGTCACAAAATAAGTCAGTTTTTTTTCGGTTTTCTTGCGTTCATTGAGTCTTTTCCAACTGTCTGTAGGCTATGTTTTAAAATTTCGTTTAATAATGTCTAGTTTTCAAAGAGTTGGATTGTTAAAGCTGATTGATTTGTAATCAGCCGACAACTTTAGCACTTCGCAACAAGGATAGCCGGTTACTGTGCATGTAGCACAGAATGTTAATGTAATTTTCTGCGTTTTGTGATAAAGGGTCTGACGTAAATATAGAATTAAATATATTTAACCGTCATAGTAATATGAACAATTTGAACAAGAGTTTTTCTAGAGAAATGACTTGATAAACAAAAAAATTTGCAGAAAATTTTTGAAAATTTTGATTGCGCTTAAAAACTCCATTTTGATTGCGTTTTTGTTTGCTTAAAACTAAATTTTCAGGCTTAAAATACGCGTTAATAAGCTTTTGTAATTCTGCTCGCTAGCTTCATTCGCTCTAATATGAAATAAAAATTAATAATTTTAAACCAGTTTTTCTCGATAATGAGACAACTTTTTGCAAATTTTTCTACTGTCGTTAGAATGATTCCGATGAATTTTTGAGGTACCTGATTTTGCGTGGAAAACAAAAAGGAAAAAACTAAAACACACCCGAAGACAAAGTGCCTCCCCATTTTTCAAATGGTCGGAACAATCAAACGAAGTGTAATTTGACGTCTTGTTTGATATAAATGCTAACGAGTTGGATGATTTGTACGCTAAGAAAACGATGTCGAACGACAAAAATTTCGTTGTTTACAGTGTTCACACGTGCGCATTTACAGTGTATCACATACAGTGTTACATGTGTTTTTTTGAGAGCGAGCTAACGTTTGAGACCAACAATTTGAGTATTTACCCTTGAACTGTTTCAAGTCACAAGAACTATAATATATAATTTTAGGATACGCAAGAAGATGAATCCGAAGATACGGGTCCGGATGAGAAGAAAGCCAAACTGGACCTGGAGAAGGGAATGTGGGACGAGTCATTCAAGTCCCACCCGGACTCGAAACCCAGAGGACCTGCATCAGTGGGAATGGACATTGGGTTCCCAGGGTTCAAACATATCTACGGAATTCCAGAACACGCTGACTCTTTCAACCTTAGAAACACGATGTGAGTTTATTTTTGAAAAGCCAAATCGTTTGTACTCTTTTAACAGCCGAAGACCGAAGTTAACGAATGTCACTTGACTCAACGCTCACTTATATTCGAAGTATCAATAATGCAATGATCACTTTTGCCTTGATTTTAATCTTTTAATGCGTGAGATGTTAGATTTTCTAAGGAGTTTGAGTTTTCGTGCGAGTTTTCATAAGGTCATTCGAGATAATATGATCGATAATTTGGTCTCGCAGATTTCAATGGTTTTCGTAGAAATTAGTTGACAGCCAGGTGTTCAAAATATGACATGTTTGATCAAATTCGACCCTTTTGCTACCTCTATCAGTGATGTCCATTAAAAAAATTTAAATTAATTCAAATTTCATTTTAATGTGAAATTATGAGCCCACTCAATTTAAATGAAAAATTTTAATTTAATTCAAATTGAAAAAAAAATTAAATTGCTCGGACGGTATTCGATCCGACGCCAAAGTACACAGTTTAGTAATGTCAGTTTATTTCACTTTTCACAGTTCCGTGGAAAAAGCAAACAATCTAAGTTTTCACGACAAAAATGATAAGATTTTGTTGCAAATAGATGTGCCCAAAAATTGCTTTCGATATATTTTTTCAAAGTACCCAAAATTGGCAGACAAATAGCTAAAAACTGACTTAAAAAAATTGCTAAAGAAAAACTTAAATAGTTCAAATTGATCCAACAATTCTTATAATTTTTTTGACTTTTTGAAAAATTTTGATTTTAATTTAATTTTTTTTTCAAATGGACATCACTAAAGAATTGCTAAAGAAAAACTTAAATAGTTTCAGAAAAATTCAAATTGATCCAACAATTCTTAGAATTTTTTTGAACAATTTTGATTTTAATTTAATTTTTTCTAAATGGACATTACTGGCCTCTATCCAAATATACTACTAAACAGACTCTCCGCATCAGCATTGGACAAGCATACAAGAGCTTATTAAGTGTAACAAAGCTTAGGGGAATGGCAAAATGGATCTCTGAGATGAAATACTGTACATGTTTTTTATTTAAATAAGGATACTGCAAATGAATCTAACAGGCATAATTCGATGATAATTGTTGGTAGAAGAGGATTACGTCACTATTGTAATAATTTAAACTTGTTGAATTTAAGGGACGGAGACCCATACCGCATGTACAACCTGGACGTGTTCGAATATGAGCTGGATAGTCGTATGGCTCTCTACGGGGCCATACCAGCAGTAGTGGCCCACAATGCCAAGAGGTCAGTGGGCATACTGTGGCTGAATGCTGCTGAGACATGGATAGATGTAGACAGACCAGAAGACTCAAAGGTTGGTTGAGGGGAGGGGGGGGGGGTTTGAAGCCCTGTCACTCAACTTACCGATACCGATCATCATAATGACAAAATGAAGCTTGAAAAGTTATGATTCAAACTGCATTGAATACGATTGCAAGTTTTTTCTTTTATGCGATAGAAATTTTATGGAATGTATAGATAGGGTTTTCGTTTTTGAGATTTTAAAAATCTCAAAAAAATTGATCTTGAGATTTTACATATAGAAAGTCAAAAGGGGACTCGATTAGCATGTAATGTTCCGTTTCTACACAAAATTGAACCAGAGGCGTCCACTTAAGTCACTTAACTTAAGTCATATACCTTTTACAGAACAACTTGTCAAAGATTTTTAAACAGTTTTTAGCGACGGCCCTTAAGAGTGAAATGAAAAAGTTATAGTGAACAATTGAACAGATTTGAAAAATGTTTCTTTCATGAATATTGACGAATGAAGACGGCAATGTTTTCTGGGGCAATTTTATTTTGCGAATTATCAAAGATATGAGAAAATAGAAATGAAGCGAGTTTTGAAATGTTTGTGTTTTAGCCAATCCTGAAGAAACTGTCCGACTTCGTTTCGAAGTCCTCGAAGGAGAACAGTGACTTAGTGACTACTCATTGGATATCAGAGAGTGGTATCATTGACCTGTTTGTGTTTGTGGGTCCAACGGCGAAGAACGTTTTCTCTCAATATGCTTCTTTGACTGGACTGGCGCCACTTCCTCCGGTACGTTTGTCTGAACTTTTTAGGGTTATTCAAGTAGCGCGTAGATTCAAGTAGATTTGAGTATTGATGTATAAGCTACTCTCTAACTAATCTAGTCATCTAGCTAGCTAAATTATATTTCGATCGATTACTTTAAGTTAGCTTTTTTAAATCGTGGCAGACTTTTTTTGCTGTTAACAACTTCAAAGGAAACGTTTACAATTTGCTTAGTTAATTACACAAATGGAGCTTGCGAATCATATATTAAGCGAACATGGCACATTTTTTCCAACCTATGATGCAATTTTCTGCTTGCAATTTCAGTATCTGTCCAGAGTTCAAAATCGATACTGCTAGTTTTTACTAATTACACTTGCATAGCTTGTGTTATAGTATGAACTTTCTTTTTTCTAACCTAAGTCGCAAATATTGTTGCGATGCAATTGTTGCGACAAAATGTGTTCGTTTTGAAAGTGTTCATTTTGATCCAGCTATTAAGTACAGCCAGTGCTAAGGATATTAACACAGACTATTATATTACAAATAGCACTTTAGCTTCAAGGTACCATGGTTCTGTAGCGAAGAGGTAGGGAAGGAGATCAGCAGCAAAATAAGTGGGTTCGAACCTGGAAAGGGGCGGATGTTTGTAATGATTTTTTTTTCAAATGTTCTTGTTGCTTTTGTTGTATCACGATATAATTTTTGTGAATTTGTGATGTTTATCATTCATACTTTGATGCTTTCTTTCTGAGTTGCTTGCTAGCCTTTACTGTGAAGCTAGCCTTTCCGGTATGTGAAATAGTCTAAATATCTTAATTTTCATGTATTTCGCGCCATTTAGGAGATTTTTTTTCGAGATTGAATCATTTATTGTATGTTTTTTCGAAGTATCAATGTACGAAATGAATATGCTTAATTATAAGAAAAAAAGTCAGTTTGTCACGATCGACTTTTATTTTTTGCGGTTTGACTTTTTTTATTGAAGTTCACTTTTTTATATTTTTTTGCTAAAATGAAAGGAAAGTTAAATTCAACCATAAAAAATGTGCATTTGGGGCAATTAAAATGTAGGTTTTTAGTTTTTAGAATTTACGTTGTTTTCCATTTTTCTCAAATTTGATTTAGTTACATCGAAAAAAATGTTGTTTAATTATTCGAAATTCATTGAGCATTAATGTCATATTTTTTAATTGAAGTACCTCAAAAGCGATCAGTTGTTTTTATCGTTGTTTTTGTTCATTGGCTCTTTAGTCAAATGCAACAGTTTTAGTGATACAGAAAACTAATCTGTTTGCTCTGATCATATGGTGCTGATGTTACTCGAAAACGGTCCGAAATTTAGGCCTTGTGAGCTGTATTTTTTCGCGGAATCGTTTTAAATTTCTTTTCTATTTTTTCAACCGCCATATTTGCAAAGCAGTGACTTGTCAGAACACTTGAGTGAGCTGTGTAACACAAACATTACTCGATGTCCGCTTATGTTTATTAGTATATATCAATGAACTTAGTGAATAAACTTATCATCATTATCAGCATCATCATTTTTTAAAATTTATTAATCCTCTTTTACTCAAGATTAGTGTTGAACTATACAGGTATTTGTAATATTGTCTGAAAAAGTAACATTTCAGTTGTTTTCAAATTGATGTAAGGTTATCAGTGTTTCGAAGGGTTTTACGTTTCAGGAGATTAAGAAAAGTGTAGATGTAGCTGTTTTTTTCACATAATGTTATTTTTTGGAGCTTTGGCATATTTTTTATCTCGAGCGATGCGAAGCTACGCTTTGCCTATGTGTATGAAATTATATTGCTTCTACCGAAAACTTAAAATCTAGTCTTTAAAATCGTATAATTTAACTTTTTTGAAAGAAGCGGAAGCTTGAGTTAGGCTGAAAAGGAGCAGCAGCATTGCAAAAGTTCCCGCACACACAGGAGAGATTAAGAAAAGTGTAGATGTAGCTGTTTTTTTCACATAATGTTATTTTTTGGAGCTTTGGCATATTTTTTATCTCGAGCGATGCGAAGCTACGCTTTGCCTATGTGTATGAAATTATATTGCTTCTACCGAAAACTTTAAATCTAGTCTTTAAAATCGTATAATTTAACATTTTTGAAAGGAGCGGAAGCATGAGTTAGGCTGAAAAGGAGCAGCAGCATTGCAAAAGTTCCCGCACACACACAGGAGAGATTAAGAAAAGTGTAGATGTAGCTGTTTTTTTCACAATGTTATTTTTTGGAGCTTTGGCATATTTTTTTATCTCGAGCGATGCGAAGCTACGCTTTGCCTATGTGTATGAAATTATATTGCTTCTACCGAAAACTTTAAATCTAGTCTTTAAAATCGTATTTTACTATGACTCTCAAATATACCTATGACTCTCAAATATGCCTAATATTTTACTATGACTCTCAAATATGCCTAAGTTCTATTTTTTCGAACGGAATATTCTGTGATACTTCCACAGTAACCGCCTATCGTTGGTAGGTTTTGAAATCAGTCTCTTTCTGATGTAGGGAGAAGATTTTTAATCACCTTTCAGTGCCAGGAAAGCGATTGTTGTGTTGATTTTTTTTGAGGAGAATCTTATAAAAGTCTCGCTTTAATTGAAGTTTTCGCGGTTTGACATTTCAATTTTTTGTTTTACTTGTTTCCCTCTGGCAGTAATTGACCAAATAAAAAATATTGCGACCATGTATGTACAATGAATGTTTATCAGTATACCAAAATTAAAAAAAAAGTTAGGCTGAAAAGGAGCAGCAGCATTGCAAAAGTTCCCGCACACACACAGGAGAGATTAAGAAAAGTGTAGATGTAGCTGTTTTTTCACATAATGTTATTTTTTGGAGCTTTGGCATATTTTTTATCTCGAGCGATGCGAAGCTACGCTTTGCCTATGTGTATGAAATTATATTGCTTCTACCGAAAACTTTAAATCTAGTCTTTAAAATCGTATAATTTAACATTTTTGAAAGAAGCGGAAGCATGAGTTAGGCTGAAAAGGAGCAGCAGCATTGCAAAAGTTCCCGCACACACAGGAGAGATTAAGAAAAGTGTAGATGTAGCTGTTTTTTTCACATAATGTTATTTTTTGGAGCTTTGGCATATTTTTTATCTCGAGCGATGCGAAGCTACGCTTTGCCTATGTGTATGAAATTATATTGCTTCTACCGAAAACTTTAAATCTAGTCTTTAAAATCGTATAATTTAACATTTTTGAAAGGAGCGGAAGCATGAGTTAGGCTGAAAAGGAGCAGCAGCATTGCAAAAGTTCCCGCACACACACAGGAGAGATTAAGAAAAGTGTAGATGTAGCTGTTTTTTTCACAATGTTATTTTTTGGAGCTTTGGCTTATTTTTTTATCTCGAGCGATGCGAAGCTACGCTTTGCCTATGTGTATGAAATTATATTGCTTCTACCGAAAACTTTAAATCTAGTCTTTAAAATCGTATTTTACTATGACTCTCAAATATGCCTATGACTCTCAAATATGCCTAATATTTTACTATGACTCTCAAATATGCCTAAGTTCTATTTTTTCGAACGGAATATTCTGTGATACTTCCACAGTAACCGCCTATCGTTGGTAGGTTTTGAAATCAGTCTCCTTCTGATGTAGGGAGAAGATTTTTAATCATCTTTCAGTGCCAGGAAAGCGATTGTTGTGTTGATTTTTTTGAGGAGAATCTTATAAAAGTCTCGCTTTAATTGAAGTTTTCGCGGTTTGACATTTCAATTTTTTGTTTTACTTGTTTCCCTCTGGCAGTAATTGACCAAATAAAAAATATTGCGACCATGTATGTACAATGAATGTTTATCAGTATACCAAAATTTAAAAAAAAATTAGGCTGAAAAGGAGCAGCAGCATTGCAAAAGTTCCCGCACACACACAGGAGAGATTAAGAAAAGTGTAGATGTAGCTGTTTTTTTCACATAATGTTATTTTTTGGAGCTTTGGCATATTTTTTATCTCGAGCGATGCGAAGCTACGCTTTGCCTATGTGTATGAAATTATATTGCTTCTACCGAAAACTTTAAATCTAGTCTTTAAAATCGTATAATTTAACATTTTTGAAAGGAGCGGAAGCATGAGTTAGGCTGAAAAGGAGCAGCAGCATTGCAAAAGTTCCCGCACACACACAGGAGAGATTAAGAAAAGTGTAGATGTAGCTGTTTTTTTCACATATTGTTATTTTTTGGAGCTTTGGCATATTTTTTATCTCGAGCGATGCGAAGCTACGCTTTGCCTATGTGTATGAAATTATATTGCTTCTACCGAAAACTTTAAATTTAGTCTTTAAAATCGTATTTTACTATGACTCTCAAATATGCCTATGACTCTCAAATATGCCTAATATTTTACTATGACTCTCAAATATGCCTAAGTTCTATTTTTTCGAACGGAATATTCTGTGATACTTCCACAGTAACCGCCTATCGTTGGTAGGTTTTGAAATCAGTCTCTTTCTGATGTAGGGAGAAGATTTTTAATCACCTTTCAGTGCCAGGAAAGCGATTGTTGTGTTGATTTTTTTTGAGGAGAATCTTATAAAAGTCTCGCTTTAATTGAAGTTTTCGCGGTTTGACATTTCAATTTTTTGTTTTACTTGTTTCCCTCTGGCAGTAATTGACCAAATAAAAAATATTGCGACCATGTATGTACAATGAATGTTTATCAGTATACCAAAATTAAAAAAAAGTTAGGCTGAAAAGGAGCAGCAGCATTGCAAAAGTTCCCGCACACACACAGGAGAGATTAAGAAAAGTGTAGATGTAGCTGTTTTTTCACAATGTTATTTTTTGGAGCTTTGGCATATTTTTTATCTCGAGCGATGCGAAGCTACGCTTTGCCTATGTGTATGAAATTATATTGCTTCTACCGAAAACTTTAAATCTAGTCTTTAAAATCGTATAATTTAACATTTTTGAAAGAAGCGGAAGCATGAGTTAGGCTGAAAAGGAGCAGCAGCATTGCAAAAGTTCCCGCACACACAGGAGAGATTAAGAAAAGTGTAGATGTAGCTGTTTTTTTCACATAATGTTATTTTTTGGAGCTTTGGCATATTTTTTATCTCGAGCGATGCGAAGCTACGCTTTGCCTATGTGTATGAAATTATATTGCTTCTACCGAAAACTTTAAATCTAGTCTTTAAAATCGTATAATTTAACATTTTTGAAAGGAGCGGAAGCATGAGTTAGGCTGAAAAGGAGCAGCAGCATTGCAAAAGTTCCCGCACACACACAGGAGAGATTAAGAAAAGTGTAGATGTAGCTGTTTTTTTCACAATGTTATTTTTTGGAGCTTTGGCATATTTTTTTATCTCGAGCGATGCGAAGCTACGCTTTGCCTATGTGTATGAAATTATATTGCTTCTACCGAAAACTTTAAATCTAGTCTTTAAAATCGTATTTTACTATGACTCTCAAATATGCCTATGACTCTCAAATATGCCTAATATTTTACTATGACTCTCAAATATGCCTAAGTTCTATTTTTTCGAACGGAATATTCTGTGATACTTCCACAGTAACCGCCTATCCTTGTTAGGTTTTGAAATCAGTCTCTTTCTGATGTATGGAGGAGATTTCTAATCACATTTCAGTGCCAGGAAGGCGATTGTGTTGATTTTTTTTGAGGAGAATCTTATAAAAGTCTCGCTTAAATTGAAGTTTTCGTGGTTTGACATTTCAATTTTTTGTTTTACTTGTTTCCCTCTGGCAGTAATTGACCAAATAAAAAATATTGCGACCATGTATATACAATGAATGTTTATCATTATACCAAAATTTTAAAAAGGTTCGGCCGAAAAGGAGTAGCACCATTGCAAAAGTTCCCGCACACACACAGGAGAGATTAAGAAAAGTGTAGATGTAGTTGGTTTTTTTTTCACATAATGTTATTTTTTGGAGCTTTGGCATATTTGTATCTCGAGCGATGCGAAGCTACGCTTTGCCTGTATGAAATTAGATTGCTTCTACCTTCTAACTTTTAATCTAATCTTTAAAATCATAATATTACATTTTTTTGAAGAGACAGAAGCGTGGTGGGCTCGTGCTACTTCTGTAAAACCACATTTTCTAATGTCTTAAAAACACCAACTGGAATCTGCGGTGCAAATAGTCGCTCGCGTTCAATTTATGTTTTATTATGGAACAAAGAAATGATTTGAATAGCTTTTGGGTTTCGTTAACATAAAAACCAACTCTAAGAACTCGAAGGTTATGAAAGAAGCTGTCCTGGATTTATTATTGATAGGTCGCGGGCTTGATTCGAGAGACATATTATCAGGTGTACTTGGCAAAAAAATGTTTTTTTAAACAATTTTTCTTGTGGTGTAACATATAGAAAATTATACGTAACATTTTTATAATGCTTGCTGGTTTTAACCTGTGTATGCGAAGTGCAGAGTAAATTGTTGAAGCATATTAAAATAGCAAGATCACGACTTCGCGTCACAAATGATTAACTGTACTTTTTCTCAGATATACAAAATTGGCGTGTCTGGCATTATAAGTAGAAAAAAATCTTGTTAAATTCTTCGTCCACTAAAAATGCATCCGATAAGAAGGAGTGTTCCGTTGTTTTTCGTGCTAAGATCATACCAATTTTTTGTAGTTATTTTCTTGGTCTAGATTTGAAAGGTGTGATGATAGACTTAGTTTGTTGCCAATTACTGCTTCTCAAGTATTCCAACTTGTTTCTCAGATAATTTAAACAGTGATTTAATAAGCGAGCTGCTCAAATTCGAGATTATTCTATGTTTTGATAATATCGATATGACGTCTACAGCTAAAGTAATTGAACATTTACAACAAAACCACAGTCTTTACGTGGAGAGGTTGAAAGAATGGGTAGCTATTCAGAGTGTATCTGCCAGTCCTACTCTGAGACCCGAAGTCATTCGAATGGTCGAATTCGTGAAAGCAGAATTGGAAAAACTCGGTGCTAAAACCACTTTGAGAGACATCGGAATGCAAAAAACTGCCCAGGGAGAAATCCCATTGCCTCCGATTCTGCTGGCAACACTTGGAAGTGACCCTAAAAAGAAGACAATCTGTGTGTATGGACATTTGGACGTGCAACCGGCGGCTCGATCCGATGGTTGGAACAGTGAACCGTTTGATTTGACGATTGACGCTGAAGGTCGGATGTTTGGCAGAGGATCTACCGACGACAAGGGTCCAGTACTTGGCTGGCTGAATGTCGTGGAAGCGTTCAAAGCGTGTGGAGTCGAACTCCCTGTGAATCTGAAAATCATTTTCGAAGGCATGGAAGAAAGTGGATCGGTGGGTCTCGAGGAAATAGTCTACGAAGAAAAGGATAAGTTCTTTCAAGACGTGGATTATGTGTGTATCTCTGACAACTACTGGCTCGGTAAAAACAAGCCATGTTTGACGTATGGCCTCCGAGGAATCGCATATTTCTTTGTTTCCGTTCAGTGTGCGTGCAAAGATCTTCATTCTGGTGTCTACGGAGGCGCTGTTTCGGAAGCGATGACTGATCTTGTAAACTTGATGTCCAGTCTAGTTGATAGCAAGGGCAATATTTTGGTTCCTGGATTAAACGATATGGTTGCCCCTGTTACGAAGGATGAGGAACTTGTTTATCCCCTACTTGACTTCAGCCCAGATGATTTCAAGGACGACGTTGGAGCGACTAAATTGATCCACGATTCAAAAGAGAAGCTTTTGATGAACAGATGGCGTTTTCCGTCTTTGTCTCTGCATGGAATTGAAGGTGCTTTTGCTGACCCCGGGGTCAAGACGGTCATTCCAGGTAAGGTCACGGGGAAGTTTTCCATCAGGCTCGTGCCGAACATGGACGAAGTTAAAGTGAAAGAACTCGTAATGACTCACCTGGAAAGTGTTTTCGCTAAATTGGACAGCCCAAATGCGTTGACGATTGAGTTGGAGGGTGGGGGAGTGAAAGCGTGGGTGGCCGATTTTAATGATCCACAGTTCAAAGCGGGACGAATTGCGTGTCAGAGAGTGTTTGGAATGGAGCCGGATCTGACGCGAGAAGGAGGAAGCATTCCAGTCACGCTGTTCTTCCAAGACGCATTGCAGAAGAGTGTAATGTTGTTGCCAATGGGTGCTTGTGATGACTCGGCACATTCGCAGAATGAGAAATTGGATAAGCGAAACTACTTCAAAGGAATGGAACTGTTCGCAGAGTACCTGAATCAAGTCGCACTTGTCGATGCATAATTTGAACTGAGTTGAGCCGAACTCACTGTTGATAATCGATTTCAGCAAATGCATTGTTTATTAACTTGATGCTTTATCATTGCTTCTCTATAAAAACGCTTTTTCAAAATTGATTCAAAAGAGCTCAATTCGATATCAAGTCTAAATATTGGAAAAAGTTGTTCAAGTTTGTTCAGCTGTTCACATTATTATGTTTAGATGATTATTACACAATCAGAGCTTGTGTTATAGTATGAACTCTCTTTTTTCAACCCTGGTAGCAAATATGGATGCGACGCGAATAATGCGTTGCTATAAAATGTGTTCATTTTGATCAATAACAAGCTATTAAGTACAGCCAATGCTAAGGATATTAACAGACTATTATATTATAAATAGCTCTTTAGCTTCAAGATATCAGGCGTCCGCTCTATAAATTGAGGCATGTTAGTTGGTAAATTTCTTTTGTTTTTCAAAATGACTGGTACTGCTAATGCGTCATAATTGGCTTGCATCATTTAACAATTATATAGACTCATTATTGGCGTGCGTTACTTAAGAAATTTTGTAGACTCGAAGTTTTACTCATTCATTTTTTCCCAATAGCATTATTGTTCCGACTTTTGATACAAAAGTAACGGAATATTTGTGCTCGGGGTGGGTTTTTTTCTTCAGACAAATTTCGACTTTTTAACTAGCCATTTTTGACGGAATTTTTTTTCGTCATTCGAAAGTTATTGCTGTCCTGAGCTTAAATTTGAAAAGATATTTTACCTGTGATCATTTTTCGTAAAGTTATGAGGGTTTAAAGATTGCCATTTTGACCAATTTGGGACAATTAACGCGCGATATATTTCGCACTATGAACGCGTAAGCGGAGATTTAATCCGTCTTAGAAATCGTTCCAAATTGGTTGAAAGAAGCTTGTTTACCATAATTGATTTGTGACAATGAGCGAGATCTAATCTTTTCTACTCTGTATGGCGTGTGGGGGGATGATTTTATAAAAAGAAATTTCAAATTTTAGAATTTTTTTTTTTTTCATTTTTTTTATTACGTTAACTTTTTATGTTATCACTGCTCCATAGATCTTAAAAGGCAGTCGGAACATTCAGGGCTTAGCCCTGATACGAGCAGTCTTGTTGGTCATTTTTTTGCTTGTGTATGCGAAATGCAAATTCGCTTCTGTGTGAATATGGTCAGAAAATTCTGTGGTGCTTGCACAGCAACCGGCTGTCCTTGTTCTTGGTTGCCTTTAATATTTTTTAATGCTATGTTAAAATTGATTTGCCTTAGGGAACGAAAATATTTTCTATGAACTATGATAACAAAACTGGAAAAGGCACAAAAAACGTGATTGAACTTTCGTTTCATGGGTTAAGTTTAATTGTTAATTGCGAAGCGAATAGAATAAATTACTTTATGATCCAGTTTCTAAAATTTGGTTAGTTGATTTACGAACATACATTTTTTTAGGTTAAAAATTGTCTAAAAGAATCACGGAATCAATTGATAGCTTGATTTGTAAGAAATTCAATTTCACATCTTCCGCGCACTTGGCGTATATTAACTTCCACGCCTAGGACGACAATGGTCTTCGGTTCGAATCTGCAATATTTTGAAATTTTTCTTTTTGAAAATGTCTGTATATAGCTTGTCTTATTTTGGTCTGCTTAGTTGCCAGAAACCGGGGCTTTTTTAAAGTGTAAGCACTTTTCACTCTAGTTCAGCTTCACTTTGCTTCATTACAATGGTTTCCTAATTATGTATTTTTCTTTTTCAAGAATTTTTCTGCTTGAATGACGTCGGCTGATGTTTTTTTGGCTTAGTCGTCTAAGATGGCGTCGTTTGAAGATATAGAAAAGATATTTTTGTTTATGTTAGATGGGGTACAAAACTTGATAGCCCAAAATTTCTCATGAACATGTTGCTTTTTTATTGCCCATTTAACTCTTGCGATTGTGTTCTTCGTCATGTGTTACTCAAATTGAACACAATTTGGGACAAAGAAACTTTAGCAGATATGGATTTTCGACAATCTTATTCACTTTTTTTCGAGTTAGTGGCTTTTCATTTATTGTCGAATAGTTTGCTTCAACTTTTATTTCATTTGTATCGGAAGTGATGCGATGCTCCACTTCGAATGTGTTGCAATTTTCATGCACAAAGTTGTACAAAAAATAGTTTGCAAAAATGAATTTTTGGATTGTTTTTGAGTGGCATTGCTGAATGGTAATTACCTAGTGAGCTAATGCCTTCTGTGCTTTTTTCAGTTTTACGTAGCAAAAAGTAGACACCACTAAGTAGACACGTCGTAAGCCAGTCGAGTAGAGAAAAGAAAATACGTCGTACCTTTATTTTTTTAATCTCGGTTGTGGTTGGCTTACGACTTCTCTACTTTATGACATTCGATTGTGATCGGTTTACAATTTGTCTACTTTATGACATGTCTACTTTTTGACCGAACTCCTTGTTTCAGGCATTCTCTATTGCTTATCATCAGTGCAGATGGAACTACAACGACGACAAGGACTGCAGAGCAGTGGACAGTGGATTCGATGAGCACGACATCCCATATGATGTCCTCTGGCTAGACATAGAACACACGGTTGAGAAGAAGTATTTCACCTGGGATGCTCACAAGTTTCCAGATTCGAAGCAATTGCTGGACGATCTGAACGCAAAGGGCAGAAAGGTTTGTAGAGGCACAAATTGTCGTTACGGGTTTTAAAAGAAGACGGAGAATTCATTTTTCTGGTGAATATTTTTGATGGCACTAGTAATGATTGAGGTTTTGTTCGATTTAAATCAAAGGTGGGAAAATCCAAATTTTCTCATTCAGTGGCGTATTTTTACCGCCAATTACACGCCAACATTTACCCGCCAGTTTTGTAAAGCGACCAGTATGAAGGTTCTGAACTATAACTGAAAAATGATCAACTGTTTCCCTAATAAGTTTCATTTCCATAAATTTCTGTAATACTTCTTTTGGTTTTTCTAAGCTACTCGGCAGTTTTTGAAAAAATCGGACTTTAATTTAAAAAATCGACTTAAATAAAAAAAAATGGGGGGATGGGGATGCAACAGAATCTAGGTTTAATGAAGGACCCCAAAAAGTTTTCAATAATCTTAAATTAGTTATTTTAAATCTACCAGATGGTGACTATAATAGACCCCCATATCAAGCGAACAGGAGGCTTCCATGTGTACGATGAGGCTACCCGACTGGGCTACTTTGTGAAGAAGAGTGATGGGAAGACGGACTACAATGGGTGGTGTTGGCCTGGAGACTCCTCGTGGGTGGACTATCTGAACCCGGCTGCGCAGACATGGTGGGCGGGACTGTTCTCACTGGACATGTACAAGGTGTGTAGGCTATTTATCATTAAGCACTAGAATATAATTTGAAGGTTTAGGGTACATAAGTAGGTAAGGGTGTCGTTAATGTGTACTAGTTAATTTTGCAAGGTAAAGCCAAAACTGACAAACTAAGGCTTTTTTTCGCGGATTCCAAACTAGCCTTTTTCCTTTTATCTTTTTTTTGGTAGTGGTTTCTAGTATCTATTACTTGAAAGAAATTACTGTCTAAAAAAGAAGTTTCAAATTTGAAATCCCCAACCCTATAGTGTGGCGGTCTCAGAGTATTCTCAGAGGTCGGAGATCTTGACTCCAAGTTTGATTGTTCAAATCATCTTAGTTTCTGAGGTATGCCGTTTTTTACGCTTTTTCAAAAGTTTTCAAAAAACACGAATTTAAAAAAAACTTCACCAAATTGGAAATACTTAACAAGGTACCCAATATAGGATGCTCTCAAGATACACTCAGGGTGTTATCTGGATTCCAAAAACGACTGCTAAATGTCCTTCTGTTCTTAGATATGACGTTTTTATGTTTTTAGAAAGTTCTCAAAAGTTAAATTCCCAAAAAAAAATCAAAATTTGAAAATGTCGACTCTTTGGTGAGTTGATGTCAGGTTACTACCAGCGGATGCAGATGTGGCATCCCATCCTAAATTTATTTATCAAAGTGTTAAGTTTTCGAAATTGGCGTTTTTTATGATATTTCAAAATTTTCCATTAACTCGAAACTAAATAAAGAGAAAAGAGTCTGATGTTTTAAAATTGATTACGCTGGCTTATAAATCCTGTTTGTGAATTTGATGATTTAGCAAGCGAAATCTTTTCTAATTAGGGAGAGTGCATTTGTATGCTCTCGGTGATTTTAGGCTTTAGCTTATGAAATAAATAAATTTACGAAGATCTGAATTCGAGTAGTTTTGACTATTTTAGTTCAAAAATCCTTAGGTTGAAATTGTTTTAATCGTTCAATTTTTGTTGGATTCAGTTTTAAATTGTTGGATTCCCGCAATTGTTGGATTTCTGTCCAATGTTACGATTGCTTTCATTTCGATGTTTTTTGTTCATATACCTTTTATATAAGCAATTTTCTCTAATCTGTTTGAAGAACCGGAAGTGCGTTACACGCTTGTTAAATTGTAATAAGATTCGAAGTAAGCGGCTAGCAAAGATTTAAAAATGACGGCTAAAGTTAGTACTGTCTGAAAACGCAAACATGGTTTCACTTATTTACATTTCTGATTTGATATAGCATCAAAACAGTCACAAAATGGGTTTCAAGCAGCTCGTAAAATTAATATCCAGTTTTTTTTACAGACTGTGATCGAAGCATTGCACGAAAAGTTGATCTGTATTAGCGTTTGAAGTCTTACTGACATCAATTTAAAGCAATTTTTTCGAATTATTTCTGTGCATCTCTCGTCTAATTGATAATTTTTTTTCCAAGAAAGTAAGCTGTTTAATCCATATTCATGCAAATCATCGAAGATGTGAATATTTTTTTGCTTCTTTCTCTGACATCCAGGGCTCAACTCTGAGTCTGTTCACGTGGAATGACATGAATGAGCCGTCAGTGTTCAACGGGCCGGAAATTACGATGCACAAGGATGCCCTGCACCATGGGGGAGTGGAACACAGGGACATACACAATATGTATGGCATGCTCATGGTCATGGCTACCAACAGGGGACAACTTCTCAGGTATGGTACTCCTTTGTATATGGACAAATTTCAAATGGAGTAGTTTACTTTTGAAGCAATGGTAAGATTTCGATAGTTTTAGAGCTCAGTAGTAGCCATTTTTTGGAATGCTATGTAATCATTATAATAACAATAAATTTGAAATCACATCACAAATGGGAACGGGGTTTGTATACTTTTAATCCTTTTATTTCACTGTTTGCTCAAATATTAAATGTGCTGTTCCTACATAAAAGCGCCCTGAGAACATGTTTTTCAGTTGATGCTACTACAGAGAAGTGAGATTGTTACGTATTGTTTGTCTCAAAAATATTCAACTAGTCGAGTGACGAAGAAGAATAATGGATTAAATTTATAATTATGTGAACTATGCGCGAAATCATGTTTCAGATCATGTGTTTATGATGATTCGTCTTTTAGGTCCCACAACCAGCACCGACCTTTCGTCCTTAGCCGATCATTCTTCGCTGGAGGCCAGAGATTGGGAGCAGTGTGGACAGGTATTAAAATTCCACCAAAATTCGCCTAATTTATATTTAAAAAAAAAACATTTATAGGGGCTAGATGTCTAATCGGGAAGTTTTTTCGAGGGATAAAGGAGTTTGTGCTTTTTTGGACTAATTTTGGTTAATTTTATAAAGACGAAAATTTGTTCAATGAAGTGGAGTTTTGTCCTGATGTCATATGTAATATGGGCGGAATTTACTTAAGTCAGTATGTATCTATGGATTTTATTCACTCAACGAAAATGAAAGTTTTCTTGCTTTGCTTAGGCGACAACAAGGCCAGCTGGGAACACATGAGGGCCTCTATCCCCATGTTGCTTTCTATGAATGTTGTGGGACTGACTTTTGTGGGGGCGGATGTGGGGGGATTCTTCGGGGATCCGTCGCCAGAGTTGCTAGTCAGATGGTACCAGGTGCGGCATGCAGATTTTTTCAACAATCACGTTCATTAAAAGTTCAGTTCAACGTGGCTTAGACTTGATAATTTCATTTCTTCCATTTTTGTTATGGAACTACAGAAATCCGCAAATATTAGTCAATTAGCAAGATGGAATGATAGATGTGAAGTAAGCGTCGCGAATAGAATGCTTGCCTCTTGACGGGCTTACTTGATTTTCTTTGCAAATCTTTTTCACTCCAGAAAAATCAAATATTGCTGATAAATTTTGAAAACCTTTTGCTGTGAGTGTTATTTTAAGTTCTACCATTTAGTTGTTTTTTAAGCTCGCAGCGTTCACTCCATTTTTCCGAGCACATGCGCACATTGAGACCAAGAGACGTGAACCGTGGTTGTTCGGAGAGGAGAACACGAAACGAATCAGGAACGCCATCAGACGAAGATACACATTCCTACCTTACTGGTACTTCATATTCGTTTTTGTTTTATTTGTTATTTAATATCCTTTTTTGAGTTGAAAATTCATGGTACGAAGGTTGTTTTTCAATTTGAAAAATATGCATAAAAGTATAAGGTTTGTACTGGTACAATTAGTTATATGATTGGCACAGCAGTTGATGCAACAATTTATCGAAAGCAAAAATGACAAATTATGATTCGTTTTTGTTTCAATTATTTTAACTGAAATCCATAACAGGGATGATGATAAGATAAATGGAAATGACTAATTATTTGATAATCGCTATTTACACTTGCGAAGTGAGTGTATAAGTACGAACCTTCTTTTTTTTCTAACCAAAGTCGCAAATATTGATGCGGCACACCAATAATGCTGGGACACCTTTACAGCTTTTTGACAGCATGCGCTTTGACATTCGGATACTAATAAGTTAACACAGTTGAGGCATTTTTAATTCATCGAATGAACCGAAAAAAGCGATTTGTATCAAAAAACATAACAATAATGAAACTCGCTTTCAGAAATTTTCTAACTCAATAGATCTCGGAATTTTTTGAAATGCCTAATTTATAAATAATGTGGCATTATGCTTTGCGATTTGTTACATGCAAAGTTAGTGTGGATGCCTTCAGTTTGTCATATTCCAAATTATTACATGGAAAAATGAGTCTATTTGTATTTGGTGACACTTTTGCTGAATGTCATTGGCAAGTTAGTAGCATATGTAGCTGCTTTATTCGTGACTAGTGTTTGTGGGTTGTTAAGCTTGTGTGGCTGAGTGGATAGTGTGTGAGACTCAAAATCTCTTGATTGCAGCAGGTCGCAGATTTGAATCCTACACGTAGCCGAGTTTTAGCTAATTCGAAGCTTGTTTCTACTTTTTCTTATTTCACTTGATAGAGCTGCTTTTTGGTGGTGATCTCGCAAGTGTTTGCGAAGCGCAGCTTCGTCTCTGAGTTACCCATTGCTTTAAGCTAACTGCTTTTGTGTTAGGTACACGCAGTTCTTTAAGACTTCAGTAACTGGCCAGCCCTTGATGAGGCCCTACTGGGTGGAGTTCCCAACCGCCGAGGAGTTCTTCGACAAGGAGGATGCCTTCATGGTTGGACCCAGTTTACTAGTTGCACCGGTGCTACATGAAGGTAAAATCTTTGTTTTTGCAGCTACGCTGTTTTTATGATGCAATATCTAAAATTCGGTCGATACGCAGTAAACTTGGTATAAAGGTCAAATTTAAAAATTGTTCAAGTGTAAGAGAGCGAAGTGATTTTCACTTATATAGGTCTCGAAGATTATATGCTCTAATTGCTACAGAATTTCATTCATGCATTTTAATGCATTTTTGAATGTGCTTAAGTATATGTGAACTTTTTGAGTCCAATTCAAATTATCTTCCAAAAGGTACGCAAATTACTCTCCAATTACGAGAGCGGAAAGAGCCAAAAAATGTGAAAGACTTCTAGTTTCGAAAGTGGAATTTAGTTTGAAGTTTAACTAGCGAATGAAAAGTTTACTCCTTAATCCAGTTTTCTTAAATTGGGATAATTTCAAGAAAAAAGTTGCAATTAGTTCTTGAAATTCAAAGAGCTTTAACATGATTAAGAGTAATGAACGTAGTGGTGAGTCTTATATAGGTCTTGGCGGCTTTTTTTAGGACGTGTTTTCTTAAAATTCTGTCATTTATTTAAATGCGGGCTTCACTATCTCGCCACGTTTAAGGTTTTTCAACGTATTAATTTTGTATTTTTAACGAAAGAATTTTTTCACTTTTATGCTATATCGTATATTGCAATGATTTTTTTTTTTGATTTCCCAGTCTGAATTGTTTGTTTATTTCGTCGAATTTAAAATTAGAAACCCAATTATGCGATTCTGTCACGATTTCACCAGGGGTTGCGATTTTCGCCTCCAAATGTGACTGCTCAATTCTTTGCAGGTTTCGAGATATGACGTGTTTTGTCAATTTTTTTTAATTTTCAGAATTTTCAAACATTTAAAAGGTATAGTCGATTTAATCGGGTACTATGAAGGTACTCTCAGGAGTTCCAAATTGCAAATCTTGCATTCAAATGCTCTTAGTTTCCGAGATGTGACGTTAAAGCTTGTGTGATAGTATGAACTCTTTTTGTCCAGCACAACTATTGTTCGCAAAATAACAATGGTTGCGACGCAAATATGTTGCGAAAAATTGTGTTCGCAACTATTGATGCGACGCAAATATAGTTGCGACAAAATGTGTTCATTTTGAAAATGTTCATTTTGATCAATAACCAGCTATTAAGTACAGCCAATGCTAAGGATATAAACATATACTTTTATACTACAAATAGCACTTTAGCTTCAAGGTATCATGGATCTGTAGCGTAGAGGTAGGGAAGGAGACCCGCACCGAAATAAGAGGGTTCGAACCTGGGCTTGTCCTTATGTTTTAAATGAACTTTTTCGTATACTAGTTGAAATGCATCCGCTCTATAAATTGAGATATCTTAGAAGGTAATTTTTTTTTTCAAATTGACTGGAAATTCTAATGCGTCTTAATTGCTTGCGTAACTTAGTAATTATGCAGACTCATAATTGGCGTGCGTCACTTAAGAAAATTGTAGACTCAAAATTTTACGCCTTCAGTTTTTCCAGTAGCGTTATCGGTTATATTTTTGATTGTGTATGCGAAGTGCAACTTCGCCTCTGTGAAAGTTGTTCAAAGATTCTAGGTATAATAAATATCACAATTGAAGTTGCCATCTCTAAAGTGAGGCTCTGTCAGGGTATTTTCTGAGGTTGCTACTGTTGCGTCTGAATATAACTGCTCAAATCCTTGTAGTTTTCGAGATATGACGTTTTTTTTTTATTTCTCAAAATTTGGGCTGTCAGAATACTCTCATGTGTTGCCGAATTTTGCCTCCAAATATGACTGGTCAAATTTTTGTTGTTTTTCCGATATGTTATTCTTCCAATAAGTTTTTCAAAAGCCTTAAATTTAATTTTTTTTCCAAAATTTTAAATTTCTAACCCTGTAGTTGGGGATTCTATGGTTACTCTCAGAATTTTCGAATCTTGCCTCTAAATATGACTGCTCAAGTCTTTGTAATTAGCGAGATATGACGCTTTTTATATGATTTTTTAATTTTTTTAGATAACTTCAATTTGAAGTTTCTCAATTTGAAATTCCCAACCTGTAACCTCCAAAAACGACTGCCTAATTGCTTTTAGTTTCTGAGATGTGACGTTTTTTATGTCATTTTAAAATTTTTCAAAGAACTCAGATATGAAAAATTTGAATTAAAAAAAAAACTTGAATAAATTTTTTTTGAAATTACTCTCTGTAATTGAGTGTTGTCATAGTACACTCAAAGGTTGCAGATATTTTTTCCAAGATCTGAGGTTTTTTTTCTGAGTTGTTAAAAATCACCTGAAAGTTGAGCTTATTTAATAGGTTAACTTGAGGCTACCGTTTCAAAGGTGCTTGTATTGAAACTTTGATGTTTTTTATCGGAGACTTTTTTTTATAATTTTACATTAGATGAAAGAATGCATGAAAGTAGAATCCATTAAATTGTTATTTGTTTTTTTTTCTGCGATAATTAAGAATAAAGATACTTGATTTATGCATTGTATACATAAATATATGCCTTGTGGCGATTATCACCTGTATATTCGTTGGCTGGCCTTCTCTATGATTGTTGCAGTTTTTCACAGTTTTTCACTTCTATCCAACGGTTGAATTGGACTTTTTTCTCCATTTTGTACCTATACATCAACGGATTTAGTTTAATTTTTGATTCCATTATCTTTAGCTAGTGTTTGGTAATATTTAGAGTCGATAAACGTAGTTGAGGCTTTAATCATTGAGGTGACGATTAAGAGTCATAAACGTAGTTAATACTCTTAAAAAGGTCTTGCTGATTTTTTTAGTGAAAAGTCTAAACTTTGTTTACGCTTAATTTTGAATTTTTGCGGTTTTGATTTCTTTTTAAGTTCACTTCTTTTCTTAAAAGGTAGGCAAACTTCAAATCGAACAGCAAAAATGTAAAGGTCATGAAAACTTCTTGGCTCGAAAGTGGTTTTTAAATCTTTGATCCAGTTTTCTGTCGCTATCGGCTATGTTTGTACCCTACTTTTTCTTTCACAGGATCCACGAGTGTCAATGTCGCCCTACCAGGCACTGATCTGTGGTACGACTACAAAACCCTCACATCTCACCAGGCACCGCTTCGAATCACAGTAGAAGCAGACATGGACTCAATACCTGTGTACTACAGAGGGGGATCTATTTTACCCACTAGAGGCAGGATTAGAAGGAGTTCAGTACTGAGTAGAGATGACCCGTTAACTTTGATTGTGGCGCCAGATTCTAAGGTAAATGCAACATCGGCAACACGATGCAACTTGTTCTAAGGTAAATGCAACATCGGCAACACGATATCAACCTAAGTAGCAAATAAATGTTCATTATGCTAGCGAGCAGCTAGTGTTTTAGTACGAACTTTCTTTTTTTCTAACCTTATTCGCAAATAAAAGTGTTCATTAAAAGTGTTCACTTCTGTGCCTTTTTGCTGTTATCATCACGATCTGTTCTCTGGTTTATTTGTGATTTATTGAGCGTTCGTAGATGAGTTTAAGTGTGTGTGCCTCAAAATCTCTAGGTCGCAGATTGAATCCGAGACGTCGACGAATTGTTTACTAATTCGAGGCTTATTGCACTAATATCGAAGCTTATTGTTTTTTTCTAGAACTCTAGTGCTGCTTTTTGCCGTGTTGTGTTATAGCTAGAGTTTGCGAAGAGTAGGTTCGCCTCTGTGTTTGAAATGTTCACTTGTTTGCTGGCGTGTTTGGTATAATCGCGATCAGTAGTGTTGGGAGTTTCATAGCATCTGTTTTTTGCGTTTTGGTGGCCAGTGTTTGCCGCTAGTCAAGTGTCCGTTAGGTTTCTATGCTCCTCGTCGGAGCGCAGCTTCGCCATCATGTGAATAGTGTTTCCTGTTGGTTTTGATTGCCCTTGCGAAGGGAATTACGACTAAGTTTTGAACTATTTTCCTCATTTAAGATTTCATTCATCAATGACAGGCGGACTCCCAACAAACTTGGCTTCACGGACAGACGTTTTGAGCATGTTTATTTACGCTTGCGATTGGCAAGCGTTATCAAATCGGAATATATACGTTTTTTTGGGCTAACAACTTGTTAAACAGAATCACGTGTATCTTGGTTCATAATGAATTCAAACTTCTATGCGTGTCCGGCACTTAGCCTAGAGGTTAAGAATACGCCTGGGATGGCAAATCTCGTGGGTTCGAATCTGACCAGGGACTGTTGTTTTTACACTAGAAAGTTCTTTCCCGAAAAAAATTCGGCCTTTAGTTAGTCTGCTTGAGTTTTGTCGCTTTAGTTGATTGTTTTTAACGCAATTTTCAATGTAATTGGTTTTAGTATTTTGAATTACTCCTGCAATTTTTCATTTACTAGCCGTATTTTTTGCTGTTTTTGTTTTTTCGCTTAAAGTTTATATTCGGCGCAAATGATTTGGGCTTGCATTTTATCGGCCTAGTGACCTAATTTGGGGTCATTTTAAGGTAAGCATAATTTTCTCATTTTTTGTGTCGGCTTTCTTGCTAATCTATTCTTTTGATGTATCGCAAGAAGTGTAAAGCTCCGCGTCGCCTTTGTATACATTTTATTTTCTGTCCAGACAAGATGTTGGTATTTTTGGCGAAGCTAAGACCGTTCTAACGGACTACCTGTTTTTTCAAAATACCTGCTCAAGTGTAAGATACTTCATAATTTGCATTACTAAACATTTTGATGAGCTAAATTCATTTCTTTTAACATTGACGGTTCTCTTTCCTTATTCATGCCTGATAGTGTACCAAAAATGATTTTACTTGTTTTTCATTTCTCGAAAACTCTTGAGCAGAAAAGTTCCACTGTTTTTTAAGAGTTTGCGAAAAATTTAGAAATAGTTTTTTTGTACGCTTTGAGGTATGATTCATGCAGGAGAACCGTTTTAGATTACTATTGTTTTGTATAATGCGTTAAAACCTCAAATTTGTTTTTTTTGGGGGTTTAATTCTACTGAGTGCTGCTGTGCCTCATAAAATAATGATTGATGCTAGCTACAGACACTAAATTAAGCGAAAACTCAGACATTTCAATTAAGCCAGAGTTAAAGATATTTTTGATTTATTAGTGACTGTATTGGTTGCTGCTTTATTGATGATTAGTGTCAGTTTCTTCCAAGTGACCGTGGCACAGATGCGAGAGCGTGAGAGTGCTAATCTATAGATCGGAGAATCAAATCCAGAACATTGAAATAGTTTTCTCCTTTAGCTGCACTTTTGTTTAGCATTGGCAAATTGATAGCAACTGTAGTTGCTTTATTGGTAGCTCTTGAAAATATATTTTCAAGCGATTGTGGCACAGATGCAAGGACTTAAGGCTAGTTATCTCGAGTTCGGAGTTTCATTTGAGGCTCATGGCAAAAGTTTTTTCAAGGCTTGTTTTTACCTGTTTTTTTTTTCTTATTTCACCTTTTTTTCACTTGTGTTTGCGAAGTGCATTTTTGAGTTTGTGTAGATATTTGTAACTTTTCAATTTTTAGTTAGATAAAAAGTAACGAAGTGAATGATTTAGTGAATTAAAAAGTCACTGATTCAAAAAAATTGTCCCGGCTTATCTGTATCTTGTTGGTCCGATTTTTGATTTTTAAAGTTTTGTTTGCGAAATAGAAGAATTGCGCTCTAACAGTTAAAGTTTTTTGACGAGCAAAAAAAACGTTATTTTTTATGTTCAAAAGTGGACCTCGAAACAACCAAGCTAGCGAGCGTAGTGTTATATTACGAATTTTTTTCCAACTTATCTCGCAAATAAAAGGGATTATCTATTTCCTGGCAATTTGCTGCATAGCATTGGAAACATATTAGCATATGTAGCTGATCTGTTGGTTGCTTGTGTTAGAGTATAATGAACCGACCGTGTTGCGGATGTTAGGACAAGAGACATCTTTTCTCCAAGTTGGAGGTTCGATTCCTACGTATAGCAAAATTATTTATTTATTTCTTTTTTGCCTTTTCAAAGCTTCTTTTTGTCGTAGTCGATTCGCTTTTGGGTAGTTTTTACATACCGGCGGATTAAAAAATACCTATTGATGAGGTTCGAAATTTTTAAGCTTAAGGTCTTAGAGTTTCCATGAATAGACTAAACAATTATTGATCTAACCTTCAACTGGATTTACTAAGACCTTAAGCTTTATGTTTTTTCTTCTAAATTTTAAAGCTGATTGTTTTAAAAATCAGTGGGTTTTTTGATTTGCTTGAATTTCTTATATTTTTAAGAGTAGTGAACTAGTGAAGACTTTTTTATAGGTCTTGCTGATTTTTTTTTGTTTTTTTTTTCAGGAAAAAGTATTAAAATATTGATGCACTTAGGTATAATGCTTTTTTGAGTTCAATTGAAATTTACCTGCTGAAAGTGACGTAAATATCACTCTTCAAAAACGAACGTGAAAATAGCGCGAAAAAACGTGAACGATTTCTAGTTTCGAAAGTGGAATTTAATTTTTAGATTTCCAGCGGAATAAAAACTTTACTTATGGATCCAGTTTTTTCAAGTTGGGTTCATGTTATCAAAAAAGCGCCAATCATAAATTGTTCTAGAAATTCAAAGAGCTTAAAGGGCATCTATTTTTTCTTTGAAGTTCGAAAGTTGAGATTTTTTCAAGAAAATCGGTGTTTTTTTATCTTTACTTACGTTCATTACTCTTTTCGAATCTTTGATTGGCTATGTTTCATACAGTCTCTTCCCTATATTCGAGTTTTTATCTGAAATTCGGTACTTATTTGGAGCTTTTTGAAATATTTTAAATGGATTCGGTGCTGCAAAATTATTAAATGGATTCGGTGCTCATAGGTCCTGGTGATTTCTTTTTTTAGTAATAAGTCTCGCGATTTTTTGCGATTTATTTTCTCGGTTGATTTTTCTTGATTTGACTTTTCGATTTTTTTTAAGTTCAATTTTTTTCTTTGTTAAAAGGAGGGCAAAATCCACTGTCGAACAGCAAAAGTGTAAAAATCACTTAAAACGTGATCGACTTCTAGTTTCGAAAGTGGAACTTAATTATCAGATTTCCAGCGAAATAAAATCTGTACGATTTCATCAAGTTTTCTCAAATTGGGATAATTTCATGGAAAAATTGTCAAATATAAATTTTGCTAGAAGGTCAACGAAGTTTATGGCCATTTATTTTTCTATGCATGTTTTAAGAGTAATGTTTATAGTGAAGACTCTTATATAGGTCTTTGTGATTTTTTTTCATGAAAATTTTTATAATAACTACAGATGTGCATTCATACTTGTTAATTCATTTATGAATGCACTTAAGTATATGTGCACTTTTTGAGTTCAATTGAATTTTATCTGCTGAAGTTTGCGTAAATAGCACTCCCCAAATACGAACGTGGAAATGGCGCAAAAAAAAATCTGAACGGTTTTTAGTTTTCCAGCGCACTAAAAACCCTACCTATTGATTCAATTTTATCAAGTTGGGTTTATGTTATCAGAAAAAAGCCAATCATTATTTTTTCAAGAAATTCCAAGAAGTTAAAGGGCATTTAATTTTTTCTTTAAGTTTCGTAAGTTAAGATTTTTTCAACAAAGTCAGTGGTTTTTGTTTTCTTGTATTCATTACTCTTTTCAACTTTGAGTTGGCCATGTTTTCAATTACTAAGAGGTTTTTGTAATCAAAAATATGTGTATCCAACGTTTTTTTTGCCTGAACTGGTTATTTTGTCATAAAGCTTAGAAATATTGAAATATATTCATGTGCCAATTGGGGCCACATTTTGAGATCGTACCGGGTCCGTTTGCTGTCCAATTGGAGTTAAATTAAATTTGAATATTTTTAAAATAAACGCTGAGTTTGTTTTAACCTATGAGAAATAAAGTCCTTCTTTTCCGTGGAAAGGAAAAGCAAGAAAGTTTAATGACTTTTTTGGCAATGCATATAGTTTTTCAGAAACTTTTTAGAGGTTAGCTAAAAACTCGTCATTTTTCACGTTATTAATGTTCAGACTCTTATATGGTCGCGATGATTTTTTTATCAGGAAAAATCTTAAAATTTGTTCAGGCTCAAACTTACTATTTTTGCGGATTGACTTTTGATTTTATTTAGTATCAGTTCATTCCCTTTGTAAAACTCCACTATTGAACAGCAAAATGTAAAGGTCACGAAAGACTTCTAACTTCGAAAATGGAATCTAATTATCAGATATCCCAGCGAATTAAAAGCTTTACCTATTGAGCTAGTTTTCTCAATTTGGAAAAAGTTCAAGTTTTTTCAAAATACAAGTTAGTTTTTTTTTGTTTCCTTGCGTTCATTACTCTTTTCCAACTGTCAATTGGTTACATTTTCATATTGTTAATTTTACGAGAAAGTGTTGATTGTGAATTTTCAAGTTGGGATTTGTTTCGAGTTCTGAAGTTTTGTAGGTTCGATTTTTAAAGATAGGTTTCAAGGTTCGTTTTGTTTTCATTGTAGTGACTTGTTTACGACTCGATTCACCAGCAGAATTCGGGTTGATATGTAAATACTAAAAAAGCTCAATCATAAAAGTTTCTTGAATTTGTTAGAGCACTAAATTGTTAAATCCGAAAATTGTTACATTGTTTTCCGATTTCAATATCTAATGAACACTTAAGTTCTTTTTATGGTTCTGTTTTTGTCCCCAAATCTTGAAAACAAACAAGTTCATAAAGATTAACAATCGTTATGTAAATTAAAATCTTCATATCAAAATCAAGTCACTGATGCTTACATTTATTTGAAACTTTCGAATTTCGCAAATTTGACAATTAGTTAAAAGTTAAGATTATGCGGCTATGTTTCAATTTCTGCCTGAGCCGTATGTGTGATTTTTCCGTACTTATCAGTTGCGAAAGTGCATTTAGGTGTATTTACTGTGTTGTAGTATCTCCTCGTTTTCTGTTCTTTGAAGTTATCAGATATGTGAAGAATTTTGGAATCAATTTGGACATTGTCGTTTTTTAGATTGATTGAGTTTTGACCATACACATTGAGAAGGTGCAAACCACATGAAAATTCTTCTTGTTTACTGATGTAGGATTGATCGACCGATGAATAATTATAATTGGAAGTCGGGTTCTCGATTTCCGATTTGTTGAATGAGATTTTGGAAGCTTCCTTGTTAAATCTGAACATTTGAACCATGATTTGAAATGTTATATCTGAACTTCTCGATGTAATGCGAAATTTTTCTAATTGAGTTTTTTCTTGGCGAGGTTTTGCGGAATTGTCAGAATTGTTGTTAACTCGGAACATTTCTTGATGCCGCTCATTCTGTTGTAAGATATCGAATGGTCTAATATGTTGTAATGTAATTGAATCCCGAGTCGTCACGTGACTTTGAAGAATGGAGTTTGATATTGCGTCTATGAGGTGTATTATCACACAAGTGGATGACGGTGAGGGGGAAGGGGGTTGATTGAGGTTGGTCCACCAGGAGAGGGTCAAAGACGAATGGCCACTGGGTTGAAGTTGGATTTCGGAACCATACGCTGAAAAAATATACGGATAGTGCGGAGTAATTATAAAACCAACCGTATTTGTAGAATAAAATAAGTCTACCTATGTAATACTTTGTGTCCAATTTTTTTTACCTTGAAACATGACTGAAATAGCTTCAAAAAATTGCACTCAATCATATGTGCACTTTTTTAGTTTTCGCAAATCTGTGAAAAAATAACACCCTAAGTCATAGTTCTCCTTCGCATTCTTTCGAGAGTGATAAAAAAAAAACGTTTTTAAAAATCCGTGCATGATCAGTTCCAGCCAAAGCAGAAGTCATTTTCATCGACAATTTAAGTCTTATTCGGTGTCTCCTAGAGGTTTTACAACCTCATAAGTTGCGGTTATTGTTCTGCTAATCTCGTGAAAATATGATAATGGCCCAAATTTTACGAGGGATTTGCTCGAGATAAGGTTGTTGGGGCATTTTAACAACTACCTTTAGTTCCATTCTTTTTGATCTCACCAGTAGATTAAATTCGATCTGTTAACCGGTAATTCCTGATTTAGATTGGTTAAATGTATTGACAGTACTGGTCACCCAACATAAACAGCAATTATATGTTTCGTGCAATAATTTAAACACTCAGAGCGATCCAATTGTGTAATAGATATTTGATCCAAATGGTCAAAATGAAAATGACATTTATCGGAAAGTGGAAAAGAGTAAGAAAGAATTGTGTAACTTTTTTTATTATTAAAAGAGTATTTGCCGATCTATTTGATTCAAAAGCGTCTTCATACTCAGGCTTCTATCACTGAGTGCTCTGGATTATATGTAGCAAAAAGTTTAAGATTGCTCAAATAATTTTTTCTGGCTTTTCCCCAGAACCTCAGTGGGCAGATTTTGTTTTAGTTAAATGGGGTTTAATTAAAAGTGGATGAACGTAGCTCACTGTTTTATAGGTCACGATAATTTTTTTTCATTAATTTTTTCAGGAAAAGTTTGTTCAGGGTCAAATTTACTTCTTAGTGGTTTGATTTTTGATTTCCTTTTAGGTTCAGTTCATTTCCTTTGTTAACAGGAAGGCAAACTCTACGATCGAACAGCAGAAGTGTAAAGGTCACGAAAAACGTGATAAATTTTTAGTTTCGAAACTGGAATTTAATTTACAGATTTCCCAGCGAAATAGAAATTTTACTAATTGATCTAGTTTTCACACATTGGGTTGATTTTAACGAAAAAAGTACCAATGCTGAATTGTTCTAGATATTCAAAGAGCTTCAAGGGCTTTTTTTGGAATTCGAAAGTGAGTTTTTTTGTTTACGTGCGTTCATTGACTACTTTCCAATTGACTGTTGGCTATTTTGATGTTTTGGAGGAGATTGGTAAATATATTTGGTCGACCTTGCCGACCCGATTCCAACCATATTAGTAAAATTCCGCTGTGTAGAGAAAAATTGGTTATTTTTTTTTATATTGGGTCTAATTTCGAACGAATTAAGTGAGCGAGTGGGCTTATGATACAGAAATAAGTCAGGGTTATTGGTCCAGATCCGCTCATAGCCGAACGAACTTTAAAAAATTACAATTTGCAAAAAAAAAGTTTTTTTTTTTGGTCGGAACTTTAGGGGCTACTTGCTCAGCTGCCGGCTATCCTTATTAATTATGTGAACGTCCTTGTCTTAACGTTTCTCTCAGATCTAAAAATGAAAGAATTCGAAAACCTATATCAGGACATGTAGTGAACTTTGAGAAAAATAGGCATTCAGAATCATCATAATTGTAAATTTCTGACCTTTTTTGTCGGAGATGAGTGTTACTATCGATAATATGGCAAAAACCATAAATGAAGACGATGGCGGCATTGTCATTGAGTTGCTCCTTTGAAGATTAAAACAAACTGAGAGAGTCAGTCCATCTGGAAAAAGCTTGAAGTTAGAAACTTTTTTTAAACTAAAACTTGTCCTAGGTTTTTTTGAGCTATCAAATTTTTCATTATGGTATTGACGATTTACGGATCAATGCTGGAATCAATTTTTTATGTACTATGTACTTTTTTACATCAATCCAAATTAAGCGCTTTGGAGTTGGCTAGAATGTTGTTTGGACTCGGATAGAAATTCCAATATGCCTTAACTGGTGGTGTTGTTGGACTAATGAAAAATACATGCCAGGTTAAGAGGGGAAAGCTGCCAGAAAAAGAGCAGCTTATTGTTTGCCGACGTCGCTCGGTATAGCTCTGTTGTGCTTTTTTTGCGGTAAGAGAATTGAAATTGAATTTGAAATCGATTAAGTTGCGCAGCTGTAGCAGACAAAGTTTTGAAATATCGAATGGAATATTGAGAAGTAATGTATGCTTAATGGCCAGATGGCATTATTGATCTTTTTTGATATTCGATTTGTAGGTATTTTTTCAAAACAGAAGATCATTACAAGATTGATGGTTATTAGTTGAGGAAAAAATTCATTAAAAGTTTTTTTGACGTTGAATTTTTTATTGATTGAGAGACGAGCGTTTGAATAAAAGTGAAATGCGTTTACTTTTGAAAAATGTTTTAAGCTAAATATACAATAAGTTGAAATTCGGGCGCAATTTGTTATGCTATTATTCGATTCTCAACTGTAATATATACGCTTGCCTAGAAAGAATCCTTATAGCAACTATTTGTTTTCAATCTGAAATTGTTTTTGAATATAATGAAGCTTCGTTCAAGTGCTGTTTTGGAATGTATTTGGGAGTTTTTCAAAAGTGTAATGGATCTGGATTCAATTTAGAAACCAGTGTCGGGCTTATTGTTACAACTGACATTTGACAACCGGTCAATTACAGAAGACTGCGTACTGTTAATTACACCAAATGAAGGCTTTCTTCAAATTCAACTCAAGATATCCGGTTGAAATGATCTAGTCAATCTGGACTGAACCCTTCTAGTTAGACTTTCAATCGAGCTGTACAAAACGGTTCAATTGACAAAAAAGGGGGTTCAATTAGGGTAAAATGGAAAGGAAGCGATAGGAGCTGAGTTCAACTACGCCTATTGCTAACTAAGCCGTCTTGTGAACTGTACACTCTTTTTAAGAGCTCATTGTAACAGATTTCGAGCCTGTTATTTTCAAAGTTTAATCCGTCATAGAGTTAAACCAATTTTTTGTGTTTTCAAAAATTTTTCTCTGGAATTTGAAATTAAAATGCGCTTTTCGGAAAGGTAGAGCAACGTTATACCGTAAGCTAACTGTTTGATAGACTTAATCGATAAAGAATTGATAGCCCCGGGTTAAGTTGAAGTGATCTGAAGTAAATTGCAAGTTGAACAAAAGATGACAAAGGATATAGTGATAAATCGAACCAAGTTAATTGCGCATTTTTGCTATCAAATTTGGCTAATTGTGACAATGCAGTAAAGTTGAGAATCATGTATAGCTTGTTAAAATCTGAGATTTTATGTTCTTTCAAATAAATAGAAAACGATTCAAATTTTGAAAAAAAAAAAATATATTTTCGAGCATTGAGCTTGAGCAGTTTAGTTCATAAGATTGTTTTTGTCATTTTGTACGAAAATATTGTAACAATTGAATGTTAACGTCAAATCTTTTTTCGTTTCTCACATTCTTATGTTTTGTTTTAATTATTCTTTCTCTACTGAAAGCACAAAATTGTCAACTTTGTGTTATATAATAAATCATAATTTAGTGGAGGCAGTTGAAAGTAAATTGACTGTAAGTAAAATTACAGAGCAAATCTTTCTAGATTGAGTGAATGAAAGAGGGATAATAATGGAAGTACCTGTTAAAATAGAACAACTAGGGCACTTTTCAAAAACTGGGATCAACTGTTCCTGAAAGTTAAGTGCATTTGAAAGCAGACTAGTCTTGGGTTTTAGCTGAAGAAGATATGAACTGTCATTTGAGATTTATTTGGCTGCATTCAGTAGTAACTTGATTTACTCGGCAAATTAACCATATAGGAACATTTTTCTATTTATATTTTCTTTTAATTATCAAGAGGTTTTTGTAAGCAAAAATTTTGTATCCAACGTTTTTTGTCTGTGGTGGTTATTTTGTTATATACCTTGGCGATATTGAAATATATTATTGTGCTAACTTGGGGCAGCATTTTGAGATCCTACCGGGTACGTTTGCTGTCCAATTGGGGTTAAGTTAAACTTGAATATTGTTTGAATAAACGTTGAGTTTGTTTTAGCTATTGAGAAATGAATTCTTCCTTTTCTGTGGAAAGCAAAAGCAAGAAATTTTAATGACCTTTTTGGCAACCAACGCTTATCTTTTTTCAGTAGCTGTTTAGAGATGAGCTAAAAACTGGTCATTTTTCCCGTTGTTTATGATTTGTCATCAATTTAATTAAGAGTCGATGAACGTAGTTCAGATTCTTATATGGTCGCGATGATTTTTTTTCAGGAAAAGCCTTAAAATTTGTTCAGGCTCAAACTTTCTTTTTTTTACGGTTTGACTTCTGATTTTTTTAGGTTCAGTTAATTTCTTTCGTAAAGTTTCCCTATCTAACAGCAAAAGTATAAAAGTCACGAAAATTGACTTCAAGTTTGGAAATATGGTTCAATTTTCAGCTTTCCCAGTGAAATATAAATTTTATTTTTTGATCCAGTTTTTTCAAATTCGGTGTTTTCTCACAAAAAAGTGCCAATTATAAATTGTTCTAAAATTTCAAAGAGCTTTAAGGGCGTCCATTTTTTTTGAATACCGAAAGTTGAGCTGTTTTTCGTGTTTTTTATTCTGATTACTTGCGTTAATTGACTCTTTTCCAACTGTCTGTTGGCTATGTTTTTAATATGCACTAAAATAAATATGTTCTTTTTTTTACCTGTTCATTGCTTCAATATTTTTTGGAAAATGGCAAATGATTTGTCAAAGATGGTTAAAAACTGAATAATTTCAGGTAGCACTGAATATATAATCAGATTTTTAACTAAAGTTTTGTTGAATTTTTTTGAGTATAAAATAGATGGTTTGAGAGACTTAATCCACTTTATATATACCTTTTTCTTATGTTAAAAGGGGCGGTGACTTCTTTTTTTTTCAGGTGGTTTATGGACCAAATATGCACTTTAATTATTAAAAGTGCCTTTTTAATTATTGTTGACTTCTCATCGATGGAATTCTAAGCTCATTTTTTCTCAAACAAATAGAAAGTGATTAAAAATGACTGACTGATAAATCGCTTTGAAACGTCCTTATATGAAGTTTTAGTTTTAAAACGATTGAGCAATATCGAAATCTTTTGTCTCTTATGTTATTATTTTAATGGCCTCTTTTAATTTGCAACATTTAAAAGATGCTGCCTGTAAAAAAAAATTTCGCCGAAGTTTTTTTTCATTTATTTTTAAAAACCTAGATAAATAAATTATAATTTTGAATCTACCTTGAATAAGTACAAGTCTTCGCAGCTAATACTTTTTAAATAAGAGAGCAAGAAGCAGAAACAAATTGCTCCATCAAAAGTTTTTCAGAAGTAGAGTGAAAGAAAATCTATATCAGGAAAAGTTTATGACCACCAGCGAGATATGTATTCAAAGGGATAAAATGGAGAAATTATTTCCACTTGTAACAATAATCGTAAACTGGGAACAATGGGCCATTGGGGAATGATACAGCAATCTATATGTTAATTGGGGATCTACCACATAC